AAAACGCGGGCGCGGAAGGAGGATGGCGTCGCACCAGGTCTCGGCGGCGAGCCAGCGCTGGCGGCCCTTGAGGTTCGGCGTCGAGATGCTCGCCTTGAGGAGCGAGTTGCGCGGCGAGGGCTTGAGGTAGTCTGGCACACGCGCACCTGCTGCTGCTGCTGCCTCTGCACCCGCACCCGCACCCGCCGTGCCCGCCGTGCCCGCCGCACCCCTCGGACCGGCGCGCGGGTCGAGAAAGTTGATGCGCGGCACGACGAGGCGGGCTTTGCCCTTGTTCGCTGTTGTCGCGGGTGCACCTTGCGGCTCGGATGCGGGTGCGGAGGGGTCGGGGTGGGCGAACGGGTATGCGTACGGGTGGTGCGAGCGCAGGGAGGTGTCTTCCGAGGCAGGTCCGCCGCCGCCACTGCCGCCGTCGCCGGGCGTCGCGAGCAGGGTCGAGTAGTACGAGTCGTAGTACTCGTCTTCGTGCACGATGCGCGACGTTGTCGCGCCGCGTGTGGCGTCCAGGAGGGCCGCGGTGTTGGCGCGCGCGCGGCCGAGCGCGGGGCGTGGCGTGGCAGTGGCGGGAGCGCTAGTGGGCAGCGGAGGCTCCGGGTCGGGGTGCTGTGTGCGCTCGCGGGCGAGGCTGTCCATGGAGGCCGACGTGCGGAGGCTCTTTCTGCGGCCAAAGGTGAAGATGCTCGCGAGGCTGGCGCGACGGGAGGCCGGGGACGGGCTCTGTCGGTGGTGGTGGTGGTGGTCGGGCAGGGGCAGGGGAGGGTAGGCGTGCGGGGCCGTGCGCTCGACGGGCGTCGGGGTGCCGCCGACGCCGCCGAGCTGGTCGAGGTTGACGAAGGACATGGTGGAGCCCTTGGGCTTGAGGGTGTGGCGGGGGTGGGCGGCGCCGCTGCGGGCGTTGGTGTTCCGCCTGCTGTCTGCGGCTCCGGTGGACCGGGTCTGTCGCGAGGCGATGGAGACGGCGCGGCTGCGAGAGGCGTCGTGTTCAGGTGCGCTTGCTGCGTGCGACTGGCGTGGGTCGTGCCCCGAGGCGGATGCACCGCGCCTGGCCCCGTCCTCCTCCTCCGAGAGCACGCCGTGCAGGATGTCTCCCCAGCTGTCCCGACTGTCGGAGGCATGGTTGCTCTTTGGCGGCTGTTCGATGGGGCCGTTGTAGGGGATGTACCAGTCGTCGTCGGGGTCGCCTGGGTCGGGGGCGAGGGGCGGCGATGGACCTAGTCTGGACGGCCCTGCCTTTGTGGAGAAGAGGGCGAGGCGGGACATGCGAGAGGGCGAGGTTGGGACGGCCATTCATGTGCCTGGGCGAAGGCTAAGGAGTGTGTGATTGATTATCAGAAAAAAGTGGTATCTTTCGAGGACATGTCTTCATCAGCGGGCAGCAGCGATTCCAGGCGGTGGAGGTACGCACATGACATGGGGAGAAAGGAGAAAAGAAAAAAAAAAAAAACAGTGGAGGTCGCTGTTGGTCCACCGACGCCACGTGGCTAAACTTCCGCTTATGGAAACCTCAAACTGGCATTGTCGCCGACGTTGTTGCTCGGGGAGGCCCTCGAAGGAAAGTCTATCAAGTGTCAAGCTGTCCGTGTCATGCTTGACCTCTTCTTGCCGTGGGCGAGTCCCGGCCTCCAGCGGGTGAGGTTCGGTGCCTGCATCGGCATGCAGCTTGTTCACTCTTCGGCACGACCCCCAGTCCTGCGAACAACCCCAGCCAGCTTGACGAAGCTGCACAAAGCCGCTGCGGAAAGTGCGCTTTCTAGCTCGCTGGACTTGTTGCAGATACCACGAGCAGGATCGCAAGTAACGGTGACGACAACTCCGCCGCTCTACAACTCTATTTCAATCAGTCTACCGAGGCCCAGGGTGAGTGCATGCACGCCCGTGGCGAGCTCAACCAAGCCACTCTTCACAGCTCCCACTTCTAGGTTCTGTCACTTACTTCGCCAGCCTCTGTAAGCACGGCTTTCTACAAGCGCCAACACATTGAGCGTATTTTTAGCTCTTTCTCTCATCAAGTCGGTTAATAAGGTGCGTGCGACCGCCCTTTGAGAGGGTTGGCCGCCGTCCCCGCCGCAATTTCAACATGCAGAGCACAAAATATTCGAATGACGGCCGACCCGACTTCAGCGAAGGCTATTGCTGCTCAGCGCCATAGTTCCTCCGCGTGGGGAATGCACGGTATCCAGCTGTTCATCACCGTCCTGCCAAGCATGAAAGTCTGAACATCAAACTCTACAGGAGCCCAAGAGCATTGGAGGCTATCTATATTCGCGTTAAAGCCGGCCTTTAACCGCATATGGGTGGGAGCGCACAGGACACGCTGACCTGGGGCCTTCTCTGAGATATAAAACGCGCCTTCGTCGCGCTTTGCAGGCCATCCCCGTCCCACCCACCCTCCACAACCATGCTCAGCATCAACACACCCGGTCTCGCGCTCTACTCCATCCCAGGGGTGTGGTTCATCGCGTTCTACCCCTCGTTCGTCCGGGTGAGCTCCCCACAAAAAAGGTGACAGACCGCCGCCAGGGCTGAACTAGACCCTCTTTGCAGTTCCTGAAGCTGTCGAGCACCATCGGCTGGAACAAGTGAGTCACTCCCGCTGAACGTGCGTGACGCGCCCTCACCGCCGTCGTGGCCAGTGTCCAGCCGCGCTCCAACATGGCGCGCCTGAAGGACAACCAGAAGCTCGACCAGGCCACGCGCGACCGCCTCGCGCGGATGATCGGTGCGCACGAGGTGAGCGGCAGTCCGCGTGCGCTTCTGCACACGCAATATATGGCGCTGACGCAGGTCCCTCCGCCCCTCCCCCTCGCTCGCGCGTTAGAACGGCATGGAGAACCTGCCGCTTTGGATCGGTGCCGTCGTAAGTCTTTGTGCCGTTCTGGCGATGGGAACCGGGGGCGGCGTATCTGACGATGATGGCATACTTTGTTCAGCTCGCAGGGTACACTGCCGGCATCCCGCACAGCACGCTCAACACGTTCGCCGTCGGGTAGTGAGTTTCCTCTGTGATCGTTTCTGGGTGCGGACGGGTTTGATGGCGCGCCTTTTTGCCAGCGTCGGCCTGCGCCTCCTGTACAACTTCATCTACATCAACCAGACCACCGAGGCTGTCGGCAACCTCCGGTGGGCCCCCCACCTTTTGCACGTCTGGAATTCTCGCTGATCGAGTTTTTGTCTCAGGTCTATGACCTTCTTTGCTGGCCTTTGTGAGCTCACTGTCCTCTCCCAGAGTCCCAGCTCGCCGCATCTGACCCTTTGCGTGTGCCACAGCGCTTCCCTTGACCCTCCTCATCAAGTCTGCAAACAAGGTCGCGGCGACCGGTTTCTGATTATCTGTGCCTGTTGTCTTGGATGTATCTCCCTCTTTCTTGGCTTTAATTCAACTTTTTCGCATCTAAACCTGTCGGATCCTCGAAGGCTCGACGCGTCTGCAGCGCGTCGTGCGCGCTCTGGTGAGACGCGGACCGAGCATCCGATATGATGGCGCTTCCGCTATTAATATGAGGTCATTGCCATCGTGTAACTTTTGACATGAGTTCGACTCGCCCTTTTCAGGTCGCAATGAACTTCACAAATAAGTACTACTTCCGTGTTCTCTCGACACATAGGACCTTTATAGCACGCTCATCCTTATGCAGATCTGGCAAATGAGTGCTCTCGAGCTGAGTAATAGGTGCGAAAGTTCTGCATGATACGCACCATATTGCAGCGCTGTGTTTTCCCACCTCCCGAAGTGATGCATGCTGGAACTGGCCACCCCAAAAGTTAGAGATAGAGACGGAGCAGATAGCACGGGCCAGAAACATGGTCAGAATATTCCATCTCCTTCTAATCTCGATCATGTGAGCTGCCTTTCGCTGTACCTTGATTTCAGAGAGGTTCGCTCCAAGCTCTGACCTTCTTCAGCATAGCCCTCGCTCGCAGTAGAGCAACCTTCTGTCTACGTCTATAGGCTCTCCCACCATCCCAGGAACCCTTCGATCCAATGAAACGCCGCTGGGAATAATCGCCCATGATGGTGTATGAAAGATATCATTATCCCACAACCATAGTTTGGTCTGCCCTTGTATGGG